ACACATACGTGGTTGAAACCCTAGTTAAAAGTACTCCTAATGTTTACCCTTCTGAAAATTTGAAATAACTAGCATATGTGAAACTTTTATAACCATGTTTAAAAATCTTTCAAAATGGCTGCTTAAATGTGCGACTAACTCTTAATTACTTTTTTAAAATAATTTGTTTAACTTATATTTAAAAAAAGAACTTTAATTAGTTTTAAATAAATTAAACTGCATCTAGTGTTCCATAACAAAAACTTAAGCAACTTTATTTTAAAGAAATCTGCTACCTTTAAGCGTTTTGAAAAACGGCTGCAGAAGGATCGTTAAAACTGTATAAAACTTAAATAAAAATGTCTTTCATTCAAAAAAAAAATCTTGTATTTGAGTAAACGTGGTTATAATTAAATAACTGTGTTTTATTTTAAATGTAATTTTTTTTTCTATTTTCTATTATAAAATGTTTCAAAAAACCTCTACTGTGTAAGTGTGTCTTCTGCAACTATTATAAGTTAGATGCTCTTTAGTACTTAACTTTAGATTCAACAAAAAAATATAGAGAAATACCATCTATAATTAGATCTATTGAGAGGAGCACTTCCTCTAACAAAGTATATATAAAATTTCTTTGCGTGATAGCATTCTTCAGGAGAAACAATATTTGCAAACACTGAGTTCACAATAAAGCTCAGTTAGTTAAAGCGTCAAACAAAATGTTGAAAATTTGTACTCTTGTGCGATACAAGTTTGCATCCATAACCAACTTAGCACTTAAGTAATATTTCGTTACGCAAAAATGTTGGTCACTATTGAACGTTAATTTTAATTCGTCTGAATATTTGTGGATGTTCCTGGTAGGCTAATAATATCTTTGGATATAAGAGCATTATATAATTAAATACAACATAAAGTCCAAAATCGCAAAAAATACCGCTACATGAAAATTAGAATTTCATTGGTTGGTATCTCGTTTTCAATCTAAAAACTCTCATATGCGTCAAGCAGAATTCAAACTCAAAACCTCTAGATTACGAGCCTTACGTTCTAATACTTATAGTTATTTTAAATAGTGCAATGACAAGACACTGGAGAGAAATATTATAAAATTAGTCTTAAGTAGTGAATAAACTATAACGCGGGGATTATTTTTTTAATTAGGGTTATTGCACGCCAAACGGTCCAATTTCTGAAATGATCCCCACTTCACCATCTTAGATTTTGATAAAACTTTGACAGTATGTAGTTAAACATATTTGATGAACATAGCCAAAGTTTCATGTCAAAATGTTTGTTATTTTGGTCTTTGCGGTACTTTTTGTAAGGCTTAGCCAAATCAATATCAGTCAGTAGCTAAAAATCGTATTTTCGGTGTCTTATAATTTTGGAATGAAAAGGTAATTTATCTTAAAAGTGTTAATTCTTTGTAAAACAAAGATGTAGATTGCAAATTATTTATTACAAATTTTATTTCATGCCTAGATTTTACTCTATGGTTCCAAAATAGCATCGCAAATTTAACACCATAAACTTTTATTGTTTTTTGCCGGGTCATATCTCTAGAACTTAAAGTGTTCCAGTATTGTTATTTTTTCTGAAGATTCTACGTACTAATATAATGATATGATTAAAAAAATTAGCTTTTTAAAAATTGCTCCTGTTGAGTTATTATTAAACTAATATGGTGACAAAAACACCCCAAAATAACATGTACTTGAACCCCTAAAACTTAATGTGGGAAAATATTTTTTGTTTTGTAAATTGCATCATTAGAAAGAGTATTTTACACTTCTAAAAAAACTAAAAACCATTTTGGAGAGATTTTTCTATGAACTAAAACCATCTAGTTTTTAAGAGCTAATTTAGGTCTACAAAGTCTTTAATAATTTAAAAGAAATATTAGGTCCCGTAAATTAACCATGTAGAGCTAATTTTATAAAGTAAATATATTTATATTCTACGGACAAATCTCTCAAAATTAGCTTATCATATAAGTTTATTACTAACATCGATTAGAATTTTTAGAAGACAAAAGTTAGAATTGAAAATAAAACAAGAGCTAATTTAAACATATATATGTATGCATACTGGTATATCTAAAGATATGTCAGTATGCATACATACATATGTCAGTATGTATACATACTGACATGTCTATAGATATGTCAGTATGTATACATACTGACATGTCTATAGATAAACTTTAAGATCATAGTCTTGATCAACCCTGCAGCATTGTGGCTATAATGACCGACGAAGCTAGTTTTATGAAAGTAGTTGGAAGGTTACTTGCTGCTAACTTTTAATAATGTTTTGCCCACATATGCAACTTGCTGTAATTGATGTTCTTTATAGAAAGAGAGAGTTCGATGGAAATCAGCCAAAACTTGAAAATGAATTTTCTGACAGCGATTCATCCGAGAATGAGGAAATTAAGGTAGATTTACTTGGCTAAATTATAAAAATGTAAGACCTAAAATTGTTCTAATTGAATTTCATTATGGGCGAGTTATAAAAAAGTACACAATTTGATACTAATATTTAGACAATCACCTACCAAGAAAAACGTCGAAAAAATATTAAGGCTGAATTTGGAAAACAACTGTCTTTAATAATGGACTGCAAAGACAAGGTAGAGCAGCCCTCTGTTTATTCTAAAAAAAATTTACAAAGAAAAAAGTTGTATACAAAAATCATTAATTGATATTAATGATTTTTGTATACAATTCAAGATAATTCTATAGCTCTGTCAAATAATGAAGTAATATTGTTATCAAAGGTTGTTACAAATTTAGTTCTCATTAAAGCAACGATTGAAGTACTTTGTCGCTGAGATTCTAACGTATTTACAGCAGACATAAAAAAATTTTTTTTGGATCATAAAAAATTAAAAACAAACAAACATAAAAAAAATAAAAAATTTCTTTTTGAATCAAAACACACAAAATTCAGTTTTTTTTGCTTGAAACATGGACGGGTTTTTTTAGTGTCGGGAAAGAATACAAGTGAACGTCTGTCAAACATTTCATATTGTGGTTGCGCATTTCATTCACAACAAACCAATCATCAACGGGGGATTTTTTATCTAACAAAATACTAGCAAAACCCAAAGGAAAGACACCACAATTAAAACTATCGGTCTGCTTAACAGCGGGAAGAAATGTTACTTTAAGCTTTTCATCCTTAACAATAGGTTGAAAGAGGAATTTTAAACATTTTTTCGAAATTAATGTTAGGTTATTGCGCAGGCTACCGCGCACTTGAGTCCTGCCACTTGAAGTAAATGCTAAAAACCTACTTTACTTGAAATAAATGCTAATAATGATAACGACCATCATGCAATAACTGAAGATGGTCATCAGAAACTGGGAAGTTTGCCTACTTCTTTTTTTGGCTGTTTAATACCAATTTGTACTTTTCAAGGCTACCAAGAGCTTTACAAATTAACTTTTGTTCTGCGTCCATAAGTTTATTGTTCAACCAACATTCTTTACTTTCCGAGATTTCTCTATCTGCCTCCGTGAGCTCATAGAGCTCATTCTTAAGCCATAAAGACGTAACTTACGAGGATGATTGATTTGACACTTTTTTTTATAGAGGATGATTGATTGACACTTTTGTTTTATAGAAAAGTCGATCTATAAGTATACCAGAAACTTTTTAAAGGTGTCAAGATAAATCAAAAAGATCTCCACTGATGATATTTGTTAGTTGGCTGGCTAATCCACTGGATTTTCCAAAAGTACTTGTGAGCTTTTGTGTATCTGCGATATTTTTGTTGTTGTTACAATTGGTGGGGTTTCCAAAAGGTTTCCACGTATCAATATATATCTTTGGAAAAAAGACCTTTACCTTCACTTATGCGAGCCCATTTATGACACGTCGATTGGATACTTGCGAAGGTCTCACACTTGTGCCCAGGGAAAAAATTCGCCGATTGTTCCACGGCATTAAGCAAAATCATCTAAATAATTTTGCCTGGTGCACGATTCCCGAAAATTGCAGATTCTTTATTTGATCCAGTGGGCATGTACGTTAAAAAGACGTCTTTTAAATGTCTTATACACGTTTTGGACGTCTTTTGAACGTTTTGGACGTCTTTTGAACGTTTAAAAGACGTCTTATTTTGGTCCGGTGCCCACTGGGGATATTGTCGCAACTCCTTTTTCAGAGATGTTTTTAAGGTAAAATATGGTTTATAAGTGTAAGTATAAGGTTTATAAGTGTAAGGACCAAGCCATTTTTGTGAAAACTTCTCACCTTTCAGATCAAACCATTTGTTATTTTTTAATAACACAATTTCATCCAACTTAGTTTCCGTTTTCGACTAATGTCAACGATCATAGTCTTGTTTTTTTTTTCTGCGCAGCGTTAATATTTTCGGCTGCTTTATCAGCAATTTTTGTTCTGACTTTCATCGCTGATGAAAAGATGGCATTAAAAAATTTAAGATTGAATCGCAACTCTTCATCTGCATCTTTTCTGTATTCTTGTTTATTGCTTTCATCTTTGTTCAGGTTATGCTTTGAATCTTCAAAACCTCGGTATACATCTCTGATAATTTCCATTTGGCGTTCCTTTTCTTTCATAACCATTCTATTCTTATAAAATAAACATCCATCTTTCACTTCAAAGCGGTTTGTTGCTCTTCAAAAATTTGATTTACATCCATAATTACGTGTAAGTATAGTAGAAGGATATGTTTTATTTCTAAGATATTCTTCTATCTCATCAAAATCAAAATGCTTTCTTTCCTTCGCCATGAAGCAGCACTCGTGTGTTTATTTGTGAAAACTGTTTATTGGAATAAAAAATTACTTAACGTTTTATTTTCACATGAATTTACGCTCAAATCGACTTTGATTAACAGTAGAATGACTTCTTTTTACATTTTCTTTGCGACTTGTAAGTTACCGCTCCAGTCATAATTTCCCGGAAAAATAATGACCCATGACATCAAAATTAACTGGGAAAATAAGACATAAAATTCTTGATTTCCTGGTGTCTCAACATCGGACGGACAAATATTTAAAAAAAATTTTTTTTCGTTTTTTTTCTATTATTTATTTGCCGTTGTTTTAACAGTGAATCGTAAAAGCTTTAACTTGCTCCATTGTTAACTAAATTAAATTTTAATAAATTAGATGAGTGATAATAATTCAATTATTTCTGCTGTTGGCCGTGGTAGGGGTAGGGGAAGAGGAAGAGGTAACACGATATCTGCTTTTATAATATAAGTAGTAAATTTAAATTTAGACAATCTTTATGTTTTCATTTAATTAAACTTTTTTAAGGTTTAAATTTCTTAAGCACTATTCAATTGTCTAATCTTTTAAATTTTTATATTTAGATGCTGTTATATTTTTTTTTATATGCATAACAAATGCATATAAAGCTTGACAGCATTAAAAAGAAAACCTAACGTTTTGTTAACTGATACAATCAGTCAACAAAAATGTTAAGTTTTTAAGTTGTTGGGAGAATTAAATAATAAATGTTATATAACATTCCATGCGTGTTCTTTTGATGAAAAATTTAGTTTTTCCACAGTTTTTACATATTTTCTAATTTCAAATTTTCCATTACATTGATGGTCTCTGAGTATTTTTTTTAGCTTGATAAGTCAATAGCTTTTATTAAAAAAAATTTTCTTTTTTTCTGAAAAAACTATATAATATTAGGTAAGCAAAAATGTAATATCTTTATATGTAATATATATATATATATATATATATATATATATATATATATATATATATATATATATATATATATATATATATATATATATATATATATGTGTGTGTGTGTGTGTGTGTGTGTGTGTGTGTGTGTGTGTGTGTGTGTGTGTGTGTGTGTGTGTGTGTGTACAAAATGTCAGAGTGTATATATATATATATGTATATATATATATATATATATATATATATATATATATATATATATATATATATATATATATATATATATATATATATATATATATATATATATATATATATATGTATATATATACTCTGACATTTTGCAGCTGTTAATAAAATCAGCCTCTTTGAGAGCAACCATATAGTTTGGGAAACTTTACTAACAGCCAGCATCAGAATTAAAGATTTTTAGAGCTATAACTTCATTAGAAGATAACAGGAAGAGTTGCTTAGCCACAATCAAGGAGGCACAAGCAAAAATCTATGAGAAGAATCGAGAAGATCCTGCAATTATCATCCTAGGCAGGAAACAATGAAACACAGGTTTTTATCTACCCCAGCCTAATAGATGAAGAAGGGGTTCAAGGCTGGTTAGCAAAATTATTCTGCTTACTTGTCGAGACCACATAAGGAGCCCTGTGTTACAACTGAGGATTAATTAACATAATTGAGATAATTGCTCATTGTATAGGAGGCTGTGCTCTATCTATGAATGAGTCAAGTTCTCTTTAAACTTAAATCATGCTAAAATTAACCCAAAATATTAAACATAAAAAAACATTCTCACCACCTAACTGTTTTAATATATCTTTTACAAATGTTTGTGGTCTGCGAAGCAACCCTCCATCAGTTGAATCATACCTCTTGCAAAATTCACCAGACTTGCTTGCTCTTAATGAGACCAATTTAAATTTTGCAATTTCTTTTTCAGATCTAAGTTTTGATGGGTCCTATCCTTTGATTTGCAAAAACTTCAATAGTCACATGCTTGTTCGTTCTCCCTCCTTCCAAGACTGCATTCTTTTAGGTGTAATTTCTTATCAAATTACATTCAATTTGATCTGCCCTCTCTCTTTACCCCTCTGCTAATATTGTTGTTATTGGTGACTTGCTCATCACACTGAATGCTTATCACACTGAATGACTTGGCTCTAACGCCACTGACCCTACTGTCACTAAAGCTTGTAACTTCTGCATTTCTCAATCTTTTACTTAGATAACTTTGTAACTCATTTTCCAAACGAACCCTATTCATTAACCTTCACTCCTTGATTTATGTCTTTTTTCTGACTCTAGCTTGTGTTCAGTTTCTCCCATTTTTCTTTTAGGTGGTTCTGACCATGCCATGACAGTGACAAACCCAGTGTTTATTTGGAGAAACTAGTTTTTTTCCAGCAGCGTTTAGAGGGGTGTGATGTTCTTGAGATCCCCTCCTTCCTTCCTCCCCTAGTTAAAACCGGTGCCACAGCGATGATTTTTAATTATCATTTTTTAATTATCATTTTATTCACTTGTGTTTATCTTGTTTAGTTTTATCTGAAGATAAGTAGTTCATTTAAAGGCTTTTCTTTGAATACATGAGTTTACCAGTGGATGTAACCATGTTACTTAAGTTACAATAAGAAAACTATTTTACTTAAGAATTTAATAAACGCTATTTGTAAATAATTATTGAAAATAGTTCAAAGTATTTTAATTATTTATTAAATATATTTTAGTAAATTTAATTTTAGTAGTATTAATGTTTTAAATAATTAGTAATTAAATGTTTAAATACTTTAATCAATTTTTAATCAATATTTACATTACATAGTATATTTACATATATTAAATCGCGTAATATTTGTAAAACTAACAAAATAGTTTTACGTCTTGTATTCAAATAACTATTTAAATAAAAAACATAAACATTTAATAAACATATTTAATATTATTTAAATTTTAGCAAATCTGTTCATTTAACTTTTACTAAAGGTTAATAACTTTTAAAGTGATTTTAAGGCACCTTTTAAATTAAATATAATAAAAGAAGAAATAATTACGATAAACGTTATTTTAAAAATGTTATATTTTTTCGATTAAAAACATATTTAAAGAAATATATAATATTTTTTTATTCATTAAGTAAATTTTTTTATTCATTAAGTATAACTTCAAAAAATGGCGTTTAATAAATAAGTTACATTTACTATGGATTTTTTTTAACATTAAAGACATTGAAGATTAAAAATAAGATCTTAATAAAACTTTTATTAAGTTATTTTAATCGTTATTTTTATTATTTTTTAATTCAAAAAGAATATGAAAAAGAACCATAACTTTCTGAAGAAGTTTACGTTTTGTTTTTTTTGTTTTCCTCACGTAAACTAAAATTAAGCTAAAGTTCAAAAGTTCATTCCAAAATTAAATTTGCGTCTTTTTCACTTTAATGCAAATTTGCTTGATTAAGACTGAGGTTTTTTACTTTTGTTCATTTACTATCGAAAGCAGTTCGCTCTTAATTGCCAATAAACAAAAGTTAACTTTACTCTGAATGGATATTTTAAAATCTTTCGAAAAAGCAAACTTTTTATACATTCCATTGTTATAAAATTTTGTAGCAAGTTTTTAAAATTAAGTTTCATAATGACATTCATTTTTATAAAAATAACATTCAGTTAGTTACCAAAGTTGCATCACATAATTATGTGTAAAAAGCAATTGCTTTTTAATTTATTTTATCATCCTCAAAAAAAAATGAAGTAGTTAGAGTAAACTGAAAATTATTTATATACTACTGCATTTAAAATCGAATTTTTTTTATTTTAAATTGAAAAAGCATAAAGAAATTTAAAAGGCAAAATAATTTTTTGGCGCCCATACCGCTCCAGCAGCACTAAAACAGGTCTGAGTTCGTCCCTGCATGATCTCTATAAATCTTTCATCTCGTACTTCTTCTCCGGACTAATTTACTACTACCATAAAGCTGACTGGGATACTGCCATAAAGCTGATTTGTGATTTTCTATGGACTGATTTCTTTTTTCTCTCAGCTGATAAATGTGCCTCTTACATAACCTCCTGGATTCAGGCAGAAATGGAAGATTTTATTCCTTCTTGTTTGTTCCAAGTCAAGCCTTATTCTACTCACCTTTTTTTTTGCAGCTGCTATATCTAATCATAATAATTTTTTTAATCTTTTCAAAAGAACAGATAACTATTTGCAAAGAACTTTTCTTCATATTCAACTCTTGAATCTAATGGTCATTCTCTTCTTTCCATTCCAATTAAACAGGTTAACCCATTGTTAGACATTCCAATCACTCCAGCTTCCCTTGCTTAAGTCATACCTCAATTAAACTCTTCTACCCCTTGTGGTCCAGACAACAATTGGTAGAAGAGTTCCTGTCACAATCTTACAAAATTGTTCTCCAGAACTCTCTTCAGTTCTCCCTAAACTATTTAGTAAGTGCTTGACTGAGTCTTGTTTTCCTACCTGCTGGAAAATGGCATCTGTTGTTACAATCAAAAAAACTCTGGAGAACATACTGTCCAATTATTGTCCAGTCTTCTTTCTTTTATTAGCAAGGTCTTTGAGTCTTTGATCAACAAGTTTCTCACATCTCATTTCGAATCAAATAACTTACAACCCTTTGGAACTCTTATGTTTTCCTGACTAATGCAACCTTCAACTTTTCTAAGTCTTCTGTCAACCAGTTCCTTCCTCTATAACTCTATTATTTTTTTCTTGTAACTCCCAACTTAATAGTGGTTGCTTGCAGCTTTGTTGGGAGAGAATCGGAATTAAAAAGAAAATTTAGTCATACTTTACTACTAAACTAATGGTCATACTTTAAAAGCTCATACTTATCTAGGAGGTTTCTTTAGATCTTTTCATGCAGTTTTTTGTCATTTTTAAATATTCTCAAAATCTCGTCATGGTTTCAGGTTAGATATTGTTATTAAGAAATTAATTATCTCAGTTTTTGTCTTTCTAATCTTCAATCACATTATTTTTTAACTAATGCCTTATACCACAAAAAATTTTCCAAGTATAATGCATTTTGGATTCAAGACTTAAATACATATTTTTCTAACATGTGCTTGCTTTTGATGTAGATACGCTTTCATATTTTTGAACTTACATATTGGCAGACAGAACAATATCAGTTGTATCTTCTCCTAAATTAAAAATTGTTATTTTTTAGTTGAAGTAAATTTGCCATTTTGAACTATATTGATTAAAATCAAATGAAAATTTAAAAAAAATTTCTAGGCTACTTTAACATAAAATTTTTATGTGTGAATTTTCAATATAAATAATGTAATAGCAAATAAGTAATATATATATATATATATATATATATATATATATATATATATATATATATATATACATATATATATATATATATATATATATATATATATATATATATATATATATATATATATATATATATATATATGTATATATATATATATATATATATATATATATATATATATATTTATATATATATATTTATATATGTGTATATATATATTTATATATATATATATATATATATATATATAAATATATATATATATATATATATATATATATATATATATATATATACACACTTACTAAAGCGTGTTTTGATAAGCATTTGCTCACTTTTTCTGCTAACCTTAAGCCATACTGTTTTTTTCAAAAAAGAAGAAGACAAAACGAAGAATGATGAATAAAACGATTGCTTCCCCATCCCAAACCCTCAGTCAATGTAGCAGCACTCCACTGCGAGTCAGGCTATTTGTCAGTCGATGTATGTACTGAAGCCTCCAGCAGCAGGCTTTTTCAGTATGACATCAGATTGCTTACCTTAGTACGCAATACTATTTGTATATTTATATATATATATATATATATATATATATATATATATATATATATATATACATATATACATATATATATATATATATATATATTGTTTCCAATATTCAAAATCTTTTTTAGATTTTATTTTATTGCACAGTTTTAAATTTAGGTATTGAACCTCAAAATGGAATTATATCTAATTCTCAACACCTGGCACAGAGAAGTCAGGAATTTACGCCTCCAAATTTATCACTTTCACAAAAAAGTATAGCAGATAGTTCTCCAAAAATATCTCAACCACTAAGTGAAACAATGTTTCAAAATTCACAAGAAGTCTCAAAAGTATCGGAATCTAAAATTTCAAATTCTCCCGTAATTTCAAAATCTACAAGTGCAAATAATTTTAAACCAACAGTATCAATATCTAGTCTTGTTGAAAATATTGATAAGTTAACTGAAAATGAAATTCTGTCAACATATCCTAGTAAAATAGATGAAAACAAATCAGAGGGAAACATAGAAAAACTTGTGAACTTGCTTTGTGAAAAAGCATTGGATCAACCTGATTTAGGACCGACCATTGCAAAACTCTGCAATGCAATATGGATATCTGAATCACTGCATAACTTGGTAGTTAATCCTCTTATGAAGGCAATACAAGACAAATACAAAAAAAAAGATGTTAATAAACGCAATTCATTTTATGGTTTGTGTGTGCTCTTATGTGAACTTTATAAATTACTGCGCTCAAAAGATCTTCCTCTTAAACCGCTTACTAATCCCGTATGTTGTTTGCTCAAAGAACTTTTACTATCAGAATCTCCATCTTCCGAGGATGTGTTTTATTTTTACCAAGAGCTTGAAAGTGTTGGTGAAATCATAGAAAAGTACTCCCCGGTAATTTTTTGATATTTGTTTACGTTAATTTACTCGACTGCTAAGTAGTAGGTTAATTTACGTTAATTTACTCGACTGCATAGTAGGTTTTGGTTTTATTTTTATATCTTTATATATATTTTTTAATTTTATTTTTACTTTGTATTTTTTTTTAATATTTAAAATTAGGAAAATATGGATGACATTATTAATAAGACGCGTCAATTAGCGATATCATCTACTGTCTCTCCATCTGCAAGATGTCGGCTTGTTCAGCTCATTGAGTTACGTGCTGGATCTTGGAAAATGAACGATGATATTAAATCTATTTATGAAGATACTTTTATGGAACTCATACAATAAAAATTTAATAAAATAATATTTTTTAATTTTAATTAAATTTTAAATCTATTTACTCGATTACCACCAAGGAGTTATTTCCGTAATGGGGCGTACCGTAAATTTTTTTTTAATTAAACGAAATTCTTTCTTAAATTTTATAACCTAATATAATTTATAAAATATATATATATTTATTCTTTTAAACACCCAATAATTACATAAACTATAGGTAAAAGTATTAAAAAAAAACAAAGCACATTTAAGTATTTTCTTGCATCGTTCTTGGAATGTTTTCCTCCATCAGCGTTCTAAATACTTCTCTTTGTTCCTTTAAATTCCAGTGTTGGAACGATTGTTTTAAGATCGCCGCAACATTGGCCTCCAATGCTTCCTGAGGGCGTGCAATTATAATTTTCTTACCCTCGATCATAAATTGGAGCATGTTTATATCAGCTTTCTTACACATTATCATTACCTCACCCACAAATGATCGTTGATTCATTAAAGGCATCTGAGTCCGTATAATCGAGTAACATATGGGGTTGTTTAAAAGCCTGATAAATAGATTTAACTTGTTGCGAAAAAGAATGTCTGACACAGCGTCTACTTTGAAATAAGAATGTAGATAATTTCTACTTTGCTTTGAAATATTAAAGAAGGATTTTAAGACAGATCGTCCAGCTATATCAATGCTATTTAGAAACTTATTGCTGCTTCCACACAGTTCTAATCCGTATAACAACGTTGGAACAGCTAAAGAATTAAATAAATGAACTATGGTAGCAGGCTGGCAAAAGCGAAGTCCATTTCTTATAAGACCTTTTGCAACAGATAAAAATTGCGTTACACGTTCAGTTATATTTTGTTTTTGGAGTGTTGCTGTCATTTTTTTGTTCTTATTATCCCAAAGGAAACCAAGATGTTTTAGATTGTTTTGAGGCTTGATAGGATCACCGTTAATATAAATAACGTTAATTAAAATCGAACTTATTCCAGATATTAGAAATTCAGTTTTTTCTGTATTCAGTTTAATAAAGTTCGATAGTCCATACTTTTGAACAATGTTAATAAGGCTCTGAAGACCAGATATAGTGGAACTTTGTAAAACTATATCATCAGCATATGCAATGATACCTGTGTATACACCATTTATTGAAGTTCCAACTTTTGATTCTGAAACAATTTTCTCTAGAAGGTTCTCTGTGTAGATATTGTAGAGATGAGGCGACAGTATGGATCCTTGACGCACTCCCTGAGACAGCCTAAATTTGTTTGATGTACATCCAAGATATGATATATTAGAAGTTCCTGTTTGATATAGTGATAATATTGTATGAACTATAGATAATGGGATTTTTTTCTGGTAATAGAGTTTCTCGAATAGTAATTCCCAATTACAACTGTCAAAAGCTTTGTTGGCGTCTAGACTGCATATATATAGCGGTGAGTTATTATGATTATAGTGCTTTATTGTTTCACTCAGAAGAAATTCTGCGTGGAGGGTAGAGCTGTTTTCTTTAAAACCGAATTGATGGGAATGACTTTCTGTTATATCTGGACATATGTGTATGATAAGATATTCGAGAAGTTTTGTAAAAATTGGTATAATGCTGATTCCTCGATAGTTATTTGGATTTTCTAGTGATGTTTTATAAGACTTGACTAATGGGATAATTTTGGCGGTTGATAAACCGTGTGGAACCTTTCCATTTGTTAACATATTGTTATAAAACGACGAAAGTAAAATAAGAAGATTCTTGTTGTGAGAGTTTTTAAGATGTTCAGCACTGATTTCATAGCAATCGTAAGATTTATTATTTTTAAGCTTTAAAATACATTTTTCAATATCAGCTGTCGAGATAACTTTTGAATTAGGCTCTTTACTTAAATGTGGAATTTGGAGAGGATTGAACTCGTTATTTGTATATTGCGGTGTATTAAGTAGTTTTTGGAAATGATGACTAAATTCTTCGACGATTTCGTTTTTGTTCTGCAATTTATTAATTGTAAAGAGTCGATTGTTAGTATTTTTTTTGATTTTTCGAATATTACCCCAAAACCTTTGAGGATTTGTATTGCGTAAGTGTTCTATATTTTTAGTTTTTTCGTGAATTTTTTTGTTATGTGCCGCTTTTACAGCTTTACGAAAGTTTTTTCGGGAATAAATAAATCTTTTGTAGGATATACATTCTGTTGACTTATTATAACCTGATTTTTGCCATTGTCTAAAGTGAAAGGAGAGATTATCTTTAATTTTTTTAAGCTCAGGTGTCCACCAAGGTTTCGAGTACTTATAAAATTCTTTTTGTCCGAAACATTGTTTAACTGCCAAGAGAGCTGCATTTTTTATATATAAGCATGTTTTTTGAATTTCTTCTTCTATTTTATCTTCCTTAAATGCGTAACTAGTAAATGCTTTTGATAGATTGAGATTATAAAAGTCAATAAACCTTTCGTTATTCCATGCATGTTTTGGTATTGAATTATATTTTTGCATTATATTATTTATTTCGTGTGATAAGCCGGTACCTTCAAAGTTAATATTCGTAGACACCGGAAGGTGATCACTAAGGTTAAGCGGTGAAGATTGCATAACTTGACAGTTTGTAAAACATAGTTCTGTCTGTTTATAGGATGCAATATGGTCAATGTAAGAAGAATTAGAAAGAGTTTTATGTTGATAGGTATAAGTAGGCCCAGCACCGTTGATTATATCGACAAAAGCGAGCTGATTTGATTCAATAAAATTAGTGAGATGTTTTGAGAAATTGTTCCTAGTTTTGTTTTTACGAAGCTCTGAATCATATATTTTATATGGAAATGACTGAAAGTCTCCGGAAATAATACATTCTCCTTCATCCTCATAGTTGTTCATTATTGAAGTGATTGTTTGTAACTGAGAAGAGTATTTTGCGTATGATTCGTTATTATTACGACAAGATGAAAGGTAAACACCAATAAAAATTAAGTTACGATTGTTAAGTGTGCCTTTAATAGCAAGAATGTTTTCATCTTCATGTATTATGTAAAAAGACGACAGTTTTTTTCGTACCATAAAAGCATTTCCTCCATATGGTCTACCGTGTGTATTTTTTTCTGCCGCATGAAAAAAAACTTTGTGTGTTAGTAATGCAATGTTATTTAACAAAAAACTCTCAATATTTAAAAGCCAATGTTCTGATATAAAAATAATATCGAAAGACTTTAACAACTTAGAAATATAATATGAATTCGATTTAAAGCTTTGACAGTTATATGCACATAGCGTAATATTTGTGTTAGTTACATTTAATTCTTTTTCTCCCATTATGATTTCAATTTTTATTGTTGCATAAATGCTGAAGAGTGGTGTAAGAATTGTGGCAAATGATTTTCGGTATTTTGATGTGGTTTTTCGATTGTTAGTGCTTCTCGCCGCATTCTAAACGGTTTAACAATAATGTTGTTATCCCAAACATCGGGTTTAAGTACCATTCCTTTTTCAGTACTATTAATTTTTACTTTGAAAGAGCGGTTGTACATGTTTTCTCTATTAAGCTTTATGTCTAAAGGAGTAATACCTATTTCTTTATTCATGTAGTTTGATAGATCTTCTTCGGATATGGAATTACAAACTCCGCCTACAAATATATATGATTCTCGAATAATACGTTTGCCCGCAATCGAGCTTCTGTTGCTAGCGACTTTGTTTCCGAAAACGGGTTCTTTTTTTTGCTTATCCATATGGCTCTTATTAACTTTATTATTTTTTCCTACCACTTTGAATTCTTGATAGTCTGTTACACAGTCTTTTTCTTTTTCTGGTTTCCGGTTATTTTGTTCCGGGTTTTGCATTTTAACCACGGTAGCGTAGGAATCTCTAATTTTATTTTTTCTATCGGTATATAAACTTGAAATCTCTGTGCTGGAGTGTGCAGTAACTTCTTCCAGCGTATTTCTTTGATTTGGGGAATGATATTTTATTGAATTTGAAACAATAGATTTTATATTTTCTTGCGATTTATGAGGTTCACAATTACTTGTGTTGTTAAATTGTGACGCACATTGATTTTTCACGATTTCGTTATTTGTTTTTTGTAGTTCGTCGTATTTTACCTGTAATAAATGCAAATCTGCCATAATTTTTTTATTTTCTAATTGTAATGCTTTTAACCGATCAATAACTTCTTTTAAAATCAATGCCATATTTATATCTGGCGGTTGATACATTTGTTGACTAGCTTGTTTGGAGTTAGAAATCAATTTAATAAAGTCTTTATGAAGTTGATTTTCCGCTAAAGAAATCGACATCAGATAAATATCATCAAGACATGTTAATATCTTATACCGTTTTCTCAGATTTTTTTTAACGGGATCTTCCGCGTCTAGAATAATGTTTAGCAGTGAGAACTGCTCTATGTCAAAACGTTCCAATATTTCTTGAAATAATTCCACTCTTAATTTGAAAACTTCCGCCTCCTTAAATTGAGAAAACCCATAGATGATTACATCCCTTGGATGTGAGCAGATTTCCTCTACATTTATAATATAGTTCTCTAAAATATTGTTACTTGACTGTATTGTTAAAAACAACTCACCAATTTCTCTTGGCGCCATATAGCATAAAGTTTAAATACATCGAGATTAAAATCTTTTTTTTTTTTTTTTTTTTTTTTTTTTGCTGAAGTAAATTTCTTAATAAAAAACACGTCCGTTCGCACCAAATTATGCGCAATCAAAAAACTTATAGATTATGTTATATCTATAAGATATAACATAATCTATAAAAAATAACTAACAATTAACATAAATTATAAGATGATAATTTTATAAAATTTAAATTATAAAATAAATCCTATAAATTTAGACAAATTTAGGTTTTTTTATTAAATTTAAAGATAAGTTTAAGTTTTTTAAATGGAAACATAAATATCTGCAAAGAATCCATTTTTAGATTCGAAAAAATCTGTTTTCAACATGGCGATCAAACAGCGAAAAAAGATCAAAAATATAATACACCTATAACGTATTAAAGCATCATTTTTCTACAATTTTTTGCTTAACCAAGGCTTTGGGGCACCTTGATCAATATGTTATGCTAAGTAGTTTATGAAATGTGTGCAGGTGGTCACGTCTTTATGTGTGGTGAATGGGTGAGTGCGGATTTACTTAGTCATAAGTTACATTCAAGAGTAATATCAATTCTGTAAAATAATAAATACAAAAAAAAATGTAAATAATAATTAATAAATATTTAATAAAATAACCAGCAACAATCAATTTTTATGTGTACTGAAGTCTATAGTTTTACTTTGGTACACTTTTCATACTTTAGTACACAGGAATACATTATTTATACTGTGACTAGTGTTGATGTTTATTTTATGATTTTAGTTCTTTTTATTACAACATTTTTTTTAACTTTCTTTCTTATCGGTTAGTTTATTTATTTATTTTTATTTTTTTTTGGTGTCTGCGCAAAACAAACACGAGGTCAGCGGTAATAACAAAAGAAATCGTTTAAAATGTAAATAAAACTAACAAAGCAAAGCATACTTTGGTTTATCGTAAATAAAAGAAATCGTTAAGAAAAGTAATTAAATAAAAAGTAAATTAAAAAACAAACAATAAACAAACTTAAGCCTTTCAGTTAAGCGTAAATAAACTTTCTTAGCAGACTAAAAAGTAAATAATAAAAAATATATAAAAAAAACCTTTTAAAAACAACATTTTAAAAATGGGCTAAAAAGTAAAAAATAAACTATTTCATG